GAATTCATTACTTCATAACCTGTGCTTTGATTCCCCAGATCATTACTTGATAGACTGTTGAACCTTCTCAGATACTTCATAATTAACTTTCGGCCAATAACATCAAGCAGGAGCTGGGGGACCTGGCTGAGAGACAGCTTTACATATTCACTTTGATTTGCTAACTAAGTGCAACTCTTGTCTTTTTATCAGAGTGCTTGGCTGTGGCTGCCTTCAGTGCAGCTTGAGCCAAGATAAACCATAATGGTTATTTAAAAGCAAATGTGGTTTCAAATTTTTTGTCACAACAGAAATCAATGGCGGGAGGAGTCCATGGCAAAGTAGCCTTGCAGGGTTCATAGGAGCCATTGAAGAAAGGGGTGTGTGCATATGCTTATCTTTCCACACCCTTTTCTTCAGCAGTTTTCTTTTCAGTTTTCCTTCTTGTTGGTTCTAATGACGAAGAAAATAACTATGCTATCTACAGGGCTGTTGCTGCTTTTGATGATGTTGTTGCTATTTATTTAGTTATACCATTCATATGCTGCCTTTCTCCCCATGGGGCTACTATTATACTACTATTATTATGTTTTTATCCTACTTTTCCAGCAAAGAATAGCACTCAAGGCAGCCAGCAAGCATGATTAAAAACAAATGTTAACATACATTAAAACAAATTAGACAATACCAGCATTCTCATAGCCTAATAATCAAAACAAATACAATAAAACTAGCAATTGGTAAACAACAAAACAGTTTACGAGGCTGGTGTGGAAAATTGTCTCAACACCATTTCAGGGACTTGGAGATAGGCAGGTCTAGGGGGATATCCTCTACCACCAGAAGGACAAGCAAGTGGGTTCTAAATCAAATTCTCTGTAGAAGAAAAAAGGGCAAAACTGAGGCTGTTGTACTTCAAGCACATCAAGAGAAGACGGGACACACTGGAAAAGACAGTAATGCTATGAAAAGTTGATGGCAGCAGGAAGAGAAGACGAGCCAATATGAGGCTGACTTCATAAATCAAACTACAGCTTGGGTTTGCAGGGCTGTTAATGATAGGTGATTTTGGACGTCAATCATTAACAGGATCACCAAATGTTAGAGGCAACTTGATGGCACATAACAATAGCGACACTGTCTAGGAGAGGACTAAAATTTGGTTCTGGGAGATCTGGAATCTTACCTGATCTGTCTCAAAATGTTCATGAATTCCCCCTTTACTGACTGACTACAAAGCATTGCCCACAAATAATCATGGAAGCTTCCAAATCACAAATCCTTGTCCTCCAGTGGAGTGCTGGTAGGGTGTATAGTAAAATATTTTCACCTCAGCTTTCTCCATAACTCACTGAGAGGCCTTTCCAGTGACTGAGTGCAATGCTAACTCAGCCCTAATATCCCAAAAGCTTATGTTGTGGTGGTTGAGCTCTTATAAACAAGGCATGTTAGCCATCCCTACACTGGTTCCAATTCCATTTCTTTTCTGAGGATGTTATACCTGGACAATCATGGGAGGGTAGCTCTATGTTGGAACTGATTTGATGGCACATAATTATTGGCAAGAATTTTATTGATGATTTACCCTTGTATTTAGGGGATTCATAGAAGTCTTGGGGCGAAATTGATGCTCAGATTGCCAGATTATGCGGTTAGCTGCATGCTCAGAACTGCAACCAGCACATTCTGAAAGGGCAACAGATTGCCCCCAAGACTTCTCTGAATGTCCTAAATGCAAAAGCCACCAACAGGATTCCAGCCATTATTATCAAATAAAGAAGGCAAACAGCATTCGTTACACTTTTATAAAAGCCAAGATCTTGCTGATATAAAGCCAAGAAGATATACTGAAGAAAGAGAGCTGCTGAAGGAAGTAGCCCAGAAATACAATTAAGCATTTTACTTGCCTTTTCTTTTTGCAAACTAGTTTGTTTGGGATCCCACCCACACTCTGGCCTTTCTTTATCCTTTGCCTGTCTTTAAAAACGACAAGTCATCATTGCAAACTGCAAGTGACTTAAAATGATTGAATATGGTTGCTTCTGGTTGGCAGAAGGTCTCCACATTACAAATTGCCTGCCCATTATTTCTTTGACAGGACAGACCATTGGAGCTTGAACGGCATTTGTAGTCAATCAAATACTAATGTTGATTGAAAATGCTGGGTTTCATGGCTTCTTAAAACATCCTACACAGGCAAGGAGAACTATATCACACAGTTCTTGCACAGGGGTATTGAAAGCATCCATGCTCTCATAACTCCACTGGCCTCCATATGTTGTAATATCAGGTAGGTGTGTGTCTAATTGTACCATAGAAGCTGATGGACATTCCAGATCCCTTCTGGAATCTGTTTTATAGTCTGGTATTTATGGGGACAAATCTGGGATGGTGCCAGCCCATTTTAATATGTTTCTGGCCTGTTCCAGTGTGATTTACCCTCAGCTGAAACTGGAAACCCACAACATGTGATGGAACATGGCCATTTAACTGATAAACATATTTCTGCATGAACCTTTTCTGCTTTTTTCTATAGAAAGTCTATGGCCATTAGCTCTGAAGCAGTTAATGCTGTAGTACAGAATCTGGAAATCATGTTATTTTCTGCCATGTTACTTTTTTGGGGAAGTAAGGACATGTTGATACTAATTTATAATTTTTTAAAAAATTATGTAAGGTTTAGCTATGTTGTTTCTTTTAAAAAGTGAAATAAGCAATATTTACTTTTAAAATTTTGCTGGATTATTTTGAGTTGGGAGGGATGACAAATCACAAATAGCATCACCTACAACAATACTTATATTTTACTGCATACTGAAATCCAGACAAAAATAACACTGAAAAAAATCATCAATGTTAACAACTCAACACCCACCCCACACACGATTCTCTCACTCTCCCTTAAGCATAAGAAGCATTTACAGGTTTAATCCATAATACAAATTAGTATTTTACATTCCATAATACTGCAGCATTTCTTTTTTTTTCTTTTTCTTTTTTTTACACTGATGTATAAAATGGCTCTATGGCTTGTTGTTTCTCTTGTTTTATATACAAAATAAGATCCACTACAACATAACAAAAAGATTAAACAATATTGCAAAAAAAATCTGTTTTCGCTAATGTTTTATAGGCAACACATAGCTGTGTTAAAGGATGTTCAATAAAAATTTGGACTAAAGACTATTTTATCTAGGAAAACAAATATTTATTTTAACATTTTGCTGTTGTCTTGTGAGTTTCCACTTAAAAAAAAAATTAGAGTGGTGCATGTTGTCCATGGATTAAGCATATCCAGTTGTCTATACAATAAATGTAATTTTTTAAAAAAGAAAAATTGCATTGCATTATAAGCATAGTCAAAAATCTGCCAGGTAACTTCCCACTTTCACCATGTGATCTAGACTGAAAAGCAGAAAATACATCCAATTTATTTGCCACAAGTTTAATCTTAATGCTCTAATTGGATAGCTATGCAATGTAATAGGGCGTTAAAAGCTTTTATCATCTCTGGTTTGGCCATACTTCATCTTTGGCATTTTCTTGAAAGAGTATAATACATCTTGTCTGCCCTGAAAGTTCCTCAAAAATACTGTAATATGTTCCTTCAGAACTAAATAGGCAAATGGCTAAGACTGCAATGTAAATTTAAGAACAAAAGCAGAGCTTATTCCTCTTGACCTGAACATGCTTCACAAATACTGTACTTTATCTTGTTAAAGCATGTATAAGCTCCTAACCAGTCTAGGTGTAGAAAAGAGAGCCCTAACTTGGAAGGTCAGTAGGCATAAACTGTGGGGCATTTGAGGGACATTATACACTTCTAGTACCCAGATGCAAAAGAAACCAGGTTTCCTGCACCTTTAGTCATTGGAATGAAGAGGGAATTTCACTAGATGAATCTTCCATGATGAAGCCCACTGAGTAGTTTTTTAAAAAGTATTTAAGATATAGGAGGAAACCTGGTTTCTTTTACAGCTGTCCTCCCCATCTAAACTTCTATCCATAATTATGATACGCACCAGGCACACTGTGGGTGTCAGAAGGCTATAAACAAAGTACACTCATTGTGTCCCTGATTTGATGTTGTTCAGGGTCCAGAGCTTCTAAGCCACATCCCAAGATACCTCAAGATTAAAACCTGCTCTTTTACCGTAGCCATGTGGCATGCATGACCACATAAGGCAATGTTTAAGGGCCCACCTGAGTTGGTAAAAGCTAGCTGGAATCCATTGAATTAGGGCAGAAGCGATCCTATTTATGTAAGAGCTGGAAAAAACTAGAAATTTGGTTAGGGTGTCTTCTCCCCAACTTAGCAACATGCCTAGGAAGAAACCAGCTTTCAATATTTCACAATGTTCTTAGGACAGCCTCTTGACTCAAATGCTGAAACCATTTGTTTTGGTCTCTAATTTTCTTTGCCTGCAATTGGTGAGAGGTTGTTGAATTTGCAGACCAAAGTAGCAGGAGGGCTAAAGGTGTCTCACCTTCCTGTTTTTTTTATTGCATGCTTCTTCAGCCAAAGCTTTTCATGTCAATTTAAAAGATGCTCATTAGAAAGAAGATCACTTACTTGTCTGCCTTGAAATTATTCTTCAAGCATTTTCGATGCCAGGAAGACAGCATGCTTCCCATCCATGAGTCTTAATGCAGCTCTACTGTTGCACTACATATACAGTGGTGCCTCGCTTTACGATTGCCCCGCATTACGACGAATCCGCTTTACGGCTATCTTTTTGCGATGGCGGAATTTCGCTTTTCGATGATCGGTTCCCTGCTTCGGGAACCGATTCTTCACAAAACCATGTTTTTCAAACAGCTGATCGGCGGTTTCAAAATGGCCACCGGGTAATTAAAATGGCTCCCCGCTGTGTTTAGGGATGGATTCCTTGCTATACAGACAGCAAAAATGGCCGCAGTATGGAGGATCTTCGCTGGATTGTGAGTTTTTACCCCACTGGAATGCATTGAACAGGTTTCAATGCATTTCAATGGGTTTTTATTTTCGCTTTACGATGTTTTCGCTTAACGACAATTTTCCTGTAACGGATTATCATCATTAAACGAAGCACCACTGTACAGTATTCAAGCTAATTTCAAAGGCCACACCTTTTTTGCCCTCTTTGAAAGCAAGTGGAAATTTTAGACCACAGTCCTACATGTCTATCCAGCAGTACATCCCACTGAGTTCAGTTGGCCTTACTCCTAAGTAAACATATACAGAATTGCAACCTTAGTCACTTACATTTGTATAGAACATGGGATCCTCACTGTGTAACTAATTCTGAAGTCATCAATGCCACAATGCTAAGAAAAGCTATTGTACTTATATTTGCCTGTCATCTCAAAGCCTTCTTGATTAAAATTCCAGAGTGAACAAAAATGGGGTTAATAAGTTTTGTGTTGATTTTACAAAGATGTTTTAAAAACTTTTTTAAAAACAGAAAAAAGAGGCTAGATATGGGTTTTCTATCATTATCAATCCTCATCATAAACATCTTTGGTAGAAAAGTAAAGAAGTGATAGCACCAATAAACTCCAAAGGCCAAACATACGATTCAGTACGCATGAGAAGTGATGAAAATATAAATTTTGGCCAGAAAAGTTGTGTATGTCCCTTGACGCCAAAGCTTCATTTCAACATCTAATGCAAAGTCTTTGGGATCTTTCACTTGTCGCTGAAGGTAGACAATTCCTGTGTAGGAATTCAGCTTTCTGGTGCTGAAGTAGTTCTCTTCGTTTCCTTTCTTGATGGTAAGGATTATGTTGTCTCCAGCATAAGCAGGTGACGGACCAATTCGGAAAATATGAGCTGGGACAACGATGTTTGTTTGGAAGTTAAGTTGATAGTAAGTGATTCTCAGTGGAGTGTTTTGGCAGTCTAGGTAGTTGAAGCAGTTGATACGCTCGCATCTCCTGAGAGGAGAAGAAAAAGAATTATTTAACATAGCAGGAACTGTGATCCAAAAAAAAGGGGGGGCATTTGTAGAGTCCTGGGGAGACTCTCATATGTCTGAAGAAGTGGATTTGTTCATGAAAGCTCACATTAAAATATAACAGTCTTTAACGTGTCCCAAATTTTTTGACTTTTTAAAAAATATATTATTATTTTCTCTTTGAGTTTTGCCTAATATGCTTGCACAGACCAATACAGCTACCTATTCTAAAACCTCCCTTATGTGTTAGGCAGAGAAACAGCAAACACTGGCTGGACAATTAACGGCTGCTTGTCCTTCTTTTAGAAATCCCTTTTCACTGAGGTGACTGTCAGCGTAACAGCCAAGTAACAAAAAGGTTGTGAACCTTGAAAGCCTCTGTTGGAAGCTCCACAATGAGCACATATTGGAATACGAGCCAAATCATGCTATGTACTGTTGCCTGGAAAAGGAATCTGTGATTCATCAAAGAGCACGGCTCTGATCTGGATATATGAAATCTCAGAGCAAACAATGCCTACCAAGGCAACTTAATAGGGCAGCACATGTTTTGCTTTCAGTTTGAGTGGTACAGTTCTAAAATAAAGAGGTGTTATACATATGCTGAGACACATCAATGGTTCAATATTGCCATCTCTGCCTGAGGCAACAGTATGAAAGAAATCCCTCTTTTGGGTCACACCTCCCAACATATCCCAGTCATGTCTTTGATATAAAGGATTCTCTGAGTTTCATTTTTTTAAAGAAACGAATTTGGCCAAACTCTGCTTAGCAGAAGTTCCACGACAAGGCCTCAAGGCAAATGGAAAAGAGGTATGGGGGTCAATTTATTTTATTTATTTATTTATTTATTTGATTTTTACCCCGCCCCTCTAGACCATGTCTACTCATCTTGATTTTCACTGTGTGACATTACAGTATTCTAAAATATACACACGTAGATTATACTTCTGATCTGTGATGTTCTTAGAAGGGCCCCATCTAGAGATGGGAAAAGCCACTTTTCTGGGTTTGTGGGAAGGGAGTTCTTTTTTTAGCTCCCAGGATGATGCTATTAAGGGGTCCATTGGGAGATTTTCTCCATCTAAACACCCTACTGCAGCAGAAGCTGCAGGGATAGCGAAGAAGACCTGGGTATAAGGCAGAAGTAGCATATTCTGTTACAGAACAAATTAGACTGTTGGGATCACTTTATCAGAGTGAAAGTAAGATTGAGGCATATGAAGGACTATTTCCTGTCCAATTTGTCAGTGAACTGAAAAGAGATAAACAGGGCAATTCATGCCCCTTGTGGGCTGAGGAATATACTGGGTGATGACAGCTTGCTTTCTAGCCAGACTGGGAACGTCTTCTTTTTTTTTCCCCTGGCCCTAATTCACTGATGAGATGGCAGGTTGTTTTGCTTTTAATCTCAGCTGTTTCTTTCCAGGCATAAGGGGTGTTTGTTTTGGCTTAATTGGTCCAGTTTATCCTTTAAAACTTTGGCAGAAAGACTAGGTGAGGACATGGAAAATGATGCCACTGTAGAGAATAACTCAGGAGCTCCATTTCTACAGAAAAGGAGTTGGCGGGAGTGTCATCAAGTTAGCACACCACTTGTCATGAGGTCCTGTGGCCAAAGGGAAGGGCAGTTGCTGAGTGGGAAGAGCAGCTACTTTGTTTATTGACAGATTTGTCTAAAGGATTGCTGCTTTACTGGTCATTGACCGTAATAAAGTAGTCATTCATTCATTCATTCATTCATTCACACACACACACACACACACACACATACATACATACATACATACATACATACATACATACATACATACATACATACATACATACATACATACATACATACATACATACATACATACATACATACATACATACATACATACATACATACATACATACATACATACATACATACATACATACATACATACATACATACATACATACATACATACATACATACATACATACATACATACATACATACATACATACATACATACATACATACATACATACATACATACAAAGGGTTGCTGCAGGGCATGAAAATGTCCATGGCTCCCAACTAGCCATTTCATTTAATCAGTCCTAGCTTGATATACATAATCCAGTTCTGTTCCTTTTAACATCATGGAAATACACTGAAGCAAAAATCCTGGAACAGTTGGAGTAACTTTAAGAAGTTACCCACTGCAAGATCTTGTATAACAACCACACAAAGGAAAGCAAAACAACTCTTCCCTTAGATTAATAAGGAAAATTAAAACACAGCGGATGTTCCTTCATCTTATGTCTGTAGGTCAGACGCAGGGGATGTCAGTCCAGATGTTGCCAGACATAATGTTCATCAGTCTTAATTAGCCCAGTCAATCGTGTGGGAGAGATGGGAGTGATCGTCCAGCAACATCTGCAGGCCCACACATTATCCATCTTGCCAACATCACCATTTACTTTGATAAATAGCAGCACTAATGTCTTAACTTGTACAGCTGTGTAGGAACCACAGTAGCCCAGTGCATGAACAGTTTTGAGGCTGAGGGAGCTGGGATCAAATCTCACCTCTCAAACCTCTACTCCTTTTGTAGCCCAAGGCAAGCTCCCCTACCCTCATTTGACCAGCGATAACAATGACCCACATTATAAGGTATAGAAAGTGCAACAGAGGTCACCTCACTTTCTAGTACTGTATTTTCCTTGAATTCTTATGTTCTAATTCATTTCCTTGCCTCTAATCCATCACAGGCTTATTAAATGGGACTTAAGGAGTTAGACTAAAGATATACATTCTGTGTCTCTAAGGGTAGCACTGGAGAAATCTGTGTTGCCCATCAATTATACTCAGGCTAACAGGTTAAAAGGAGCACATAACTTTTTATTCACAAGGCTATAACAAGGTCCTGAACCAGAATAATTATGGAAGAGAACACTTAGAATATTCTGTCACATAGAAATGTTTTTAAAAGCATGTATTGGACTTACATATCAGACACTTTCCTGTAGTTTGGAGGGCATTCGAACAGAATACATCGGAAGCTACCTTGAATGTTATAGCAAGACTCCGTTGACGAACAATTGTGGGTTCCCATTGCACATTCATCAATATCTGGAATCAAATATGCATATATATGGGAAAGATTATGCAACCTAATAACAAAAAAAGTATAGAATAGAGCCTGCCACATTCCAAAACTGTGCTAGAAATGTCCCCTGCATGAGGAAGCAACAGGCTTGATATGAAAAAATGAAATCAGCCCCGTGCATTCCTGTTAACCAGAGGCTTTGTGTTTCATCTCTGTACAATAAAGGTAAGGTTATATCTGCCAAGCTTTATGAATTATTCACCCATTATACTCAAGGCTTGCCAGCATGCATTTATTTGATAGGCATCCTCTCTCATACATGAGCCAAATAGTTAGTGTCACTCAGATTCTGCATGTGCAATTAAAATGCAAAAAGGCAAAGTCAGAATTGCTTCACGTTCTGGTGATATCAGATACTGGAATGATATAGCTATATTGGACTATAATATCCAGCATTCCCCGGCCAGCAAAGCCACGTTACTTGGGAATGTTGAGATCTATGGTCCAAGACAGTGGGTTGAGTATCTCTTGCTGAGTATCATAATTTGTAATTAGAATAAGCCTACTGAATCACTGAGAAATTTGTGCGTCGATTCCTCTATAAGTTCCATGGATTCACCTGAACCTAGTCTAGTTGCAACCTACTATACTGAACAATGGGATTTCAGCCAATTGTGTTCCCAAGCTCTGGATTACACACATGCAGAGCATCAGGGTGGTGTAGCAGGCTCAAGCCTCCAAGGAGCCCCATGAAACATACTGGATGACTTGCAGACCTCAAAGTTGAATGATGATGCTGCGCTATTGTGAGGAGGAAATGGTGAAGCAGAAGAGCTGGGTGAGTCATTTTGAGATCTTTGGAAGAAAGATACAAATATAGCACACTAACAAACACAGCAGGCCTGTTCCCCCCCCCCTTGTGCGTTGGCTGGCCTTTTCACTGGAATCTTATTCAAACACAGGTTGCTAATAATAGCAACAGAATCATCCTTTGTACGTATCACAACTGAGACAGTAAGGCAGGTGTTCCTTTTTTTAAAGGCCAAAGCTTCACATCTGAAGATGCCTATAGTTCTGTTGCATTCAGAACAAAAGATTCCCCCATTTGTTTCTTGGTGCAAGGACAATCCTTGAACAATAAGATGACAAAATATTAAGTTGTGGTTCCAAAGATACAGAATACCAGATGACATGGATCCAGTTCAAGTTTTTCAGATTTTGTTGCTGTTGTTGACATTGAAAGCAGAGTTCATCTCTTGCAGTCACAAAGAAAACTCCTAAATGTCTAGACATCATTCAAAGGTTTGCAAATGAACTAAATGTTAGCAGACAATCCATGTGGTGAAGTGTGGTGAAATTTTGCCGCAGGAAGGCTTCTCATGAAATACCTAAGTCTTCCCTGAGGGTCAAGAGTTGTTCTTGCATGGACTGTGGCTTGGTTTAAAAGCCCAAGGAATATTTTTCAAAGGAAAAGTCAAAGAGAATTAAAGTAAATTAAGCCCCTCCTCACTGATTCTTAAAACTAGGTGAATAGCTAAATTGTTTCCATATGGCACTCTTTGTTGTAAACTGATTTACTTCTCCATCTTGGCTCTCTGAAGCTCAACCACACAGTTTTGAAAACAATGGTCCATAACATAAAATCCTAGCATGCCAGTTCAAACAGATCAGCTTGGAACCACTAAGCTATAAAAATGACATGAATGAAATGGAAAGGGAAAAGAGGCTGGGGGAGAGAAAGGATTTATTAAATCTCTGAATCAAACAACCCTGATTAAGAATATATTTCCCTCTACAGGTTCCATAAACATCAGGTGGAAGACAGAGAATATCTTCCTGTCCTGTCCTTTGGGCAATACTGTTCCATTTCCAAGAACTCCTCGGTCATCAAGGAGTATAATGCTTAGAAAGTTCATTTATTTATTTATTTAATTTATATGCCGCCCACACTACCCAAAGGTCTCTGGGCGGCTTACAAAATTTAAAATACAACAAAAATTCAAAACAATTAAAATACAATTAAAATATATATGGTGAAATTTTAATTGCTGGGAGAATCGGGGTATCTATATTTGTATGGTGAGTGTTGTGTATATTTTAACTTTTTTTTGTAGTGGTGTTGTCCAGTTTTACCTTGGGGAAGAGCACCTCATTTCGTTGCACCCACTTGTGAGTGCAATGACAAATAAATTTCTTATGTCTTATGTCTTAAAATATATATAAAAATTGCCATTATTGTGTGTGGTAGAAATCCAATGTGCACAAATTACCGTATGTAGGCAAAATATCTCCTGAATCTGGTAACTATCCATGTGATCTAGGATTATAGCCATTGAACATTAGACAGGTATGTCCTATTCTACCGTTACACCCACAAGTAGGCTTTGAGCAATGTTGTACAGACATCTTTCTGCACCAGGGAAAAGATTGTGAGAACATCTGAACTTTGCAGTGGCAAAGTTCAGCATTTAATGCTCATGCAACCCTTTACCAAGGCCATTATGGATGCCCTACATTGTCAGAGACTCTCCTCCCCCCCCCCGAAAAAAGAGGGGATATGTTTGTAGGAAGACAGGCCAACCTGCATGGGCCATTATCTTGTGATTTAGGGCTAATTCCCATCAGCACATTCCTCACATGACAACTACTATTGGGGGAGGGAGGAAATCAGCCCAATGCGAGAACTGTTTCATTGCAAAGTATGATGCTTGAGTTTGCATGAGGCATTGTGATGGTCCAGTCTGTAATATCTTTGCTTATACAACTTGCCATGTGATATCATGTGAAAAGGGTGCTACTCAGAAGTAAGCCCCACTTGCTCCCAGGGTTGTATAGGAGTGCAGCTGAAATGAATGTTTAAACTGTGTTGAGCGGGTAAGCTGATCTCCACTGAACCAACTAAAACATCACAAGCAATGAAAAAAGGCTTCCATGTATCTTCAAATTTGCTCCTTCATAGTGTTCTCAACTACCCATGTAGAAATATGAAGGGAAGCTATATATTCCTTTGGCAGTTTTTTCCCCCCTTACTTCTCTGTTGTACACTGCCCAGGCCAGATCGTGCAGTATAAAAGTGTAACAAATAGACAGACAGACATCCCCTTGCCACACTCAGGGCACAAAGTTTGCTCCTTCAATTTCCTTGAATTTTCTATTATTCCCTTCCAGAGATGGGCACTAAACAAACAAACAAACAAACCAGAAAGCTAGTCAAAAATGGCTGGTTCATTGGTTCGGGTCGACTCAGGATCGTCAAAACCAAAACAAACTGAACCAACAGACTTTTTAAATCGATTTTTCCCCCGTTTGATTCATTTGTTCACAGACAGAGTTCTAACTCCTGTCCTCTGAAGATGCCAGCCACAGAGACTGGTGAAACGTTAGGAAGAAAAGCCTCCAGAACACAGCCAAACAACCCAAAAAAACCCTACAACAACCATCGGATCCTGGCCGTGAAAGCTTTCGAGAATACAATTTGTGGTTTGTTTTTTCCAAATGTTCTGGAAGTTCATGGTTTGTGGGCTTCAATAAACCATGAACTACAATGAACTATCATTTTGCGGGTTCATGACAAACTCTTATTCTCTACCACTGATATTAGAATAGCAGCACTTACTGCTATTTTGATTGCCATGGTACAAACAGATCCTGAAAAAAAGCTTCTTTTTGTTCTATAAATTCCAGAACTCCTGAACCAGTTACAGTCAAAAGTAACTTTTCCAAGCTCTGAAAATAGCAACCCATATAAATAAAAGTGCCTGGTGTGTGTACTTCAGAATTGGAAGCACTGTAATCTATTTCTTACCTCGACAAGTCCTTCCATTTGCTGACACTGTATAGCCTTGATCAGGACAAGCACATTGATAACTTCCAGGCACATTAAGGCAACGAAAAGTGCACAGAATACTTGCACTTAGTGCACATTCATCAATATCTAAAATAAAGAGAATGACAAAGTAATTCTGCAATAGGAATGGGACCAGTATTAGCACTGGAAAATTCAATTGTAAATACCTTTACAAGAATGGCCATCTTCTGCTAACTGATAGCCTTGCCTGCAGTAACACTGGTAGGAGCCATAAATATTAGCACACTCTTGACTGCATGGGTTATTGTCACATTCATTGACATCTGTATGAAAGTAAATATGGAAAACAGGTTGAATCAATCCAATCACTGTCATATCTCTGTCACTGATTAGTAAGAATTTATAAACAAAAAGATGGAAACCCCCCCCCCCTTTTACAGGCAATCACCAAGAAAGGTGAATATCATAAAAGGAAATCAAACACAGTCTGGAAAAAGCATTTTGAAATTAAGATGTTGGATTCAAAATGAAGTACTTTTCCTTTCTGTATCTGCCAGTATAGCAATACAGCCTCGACAATAAGAAAACTTGGGCTCCAAAGAAGGCTTGTTGAATTCAATGGGATGCCTCAATAGCCACAACTAGCATTATATGGTAAGTGACTTTCCTACCAGATTTCTTCTGAAGTTCCTGTCATCTGGTCAGTCTATATTCAATCCCATTTTTTTAAAAAAAACACCTGTTAATTCCTGATAACATGCAACAATTATGTGGGAAAGGCTGATCAGGTTTTTACTTTGTCAGAAGGGTGAGGAAAAGTTATTTTGAGGTAAGTGTGCCTTTAGAAATATCCGAAACTCTTAGAAAGGCAGCTAAAATTCTGATGAACCCAACTAACGAAATCCAAATGTGCAAGCATTCCTATCAAAATACACAACTTGCACATGGAAGATGCATTGAGTGAGAATAAGTTGTATTGACTGGAGTGAGGATACACATATGCAAGTGAATTTACACCAGTTCTGTGCAACAAGCTGCATCTTAACTTCCCCACCTACCATAGTAGGTGTCATCACCAATGTTATGAAGTCATCTGGTCATCAACAAATATATCAAAAAAATGTTTTACATAATTAACCACATGTAAAGGCACCAATCTCGGGGTTGGACTGAGGCCTCACTTTTCCCCCAAACAGTGATCTATCCATGCTACATGGATTGCTCTGACCCTTTTGTCTTTGAGAAAAGTTATAAATAGATACCTTCACAATGCTTCCCATCATAAGCCAAGCGAAAGCCAGAAGAACATGAACAATGATAGGACCCAGGAGTATTTTCGCAGGAGTGTTGACATAACCGTCCTGGATAATTCCAGCATTCATTTATATCTGCCATAAAACACAATCAATAGGAATGTAAAACAGGTTTAAGAGCTCTATTTTAGAGAAGAAAATAACAAACAGAGTGAGAGCTAATTTTTATTACTGCTTCCGTTCCAGATATTTCTCTTTCTTACTGTTGATGTGAGCAAACAATGAAATATGGAGAGTGGTAGTGAGTCCTCCAGTGTTGTGATATTTTGATTTAGTATGCCGATATTTCCTGAAAATGAGTTAGGAGGAATGCACAATCTTTTTTGTACATTTGCACTTGGCATTACTGACTACTCATGAACATTTTTCCCTGATCAGGACACATATTTCTTTCATTTAATTGAAATGACATCAACTGTGGGTCCTGATAGCAATCTTAATTGTATTTTAATCATTTTATCTTTTATTGTATATTAATTGAATTTTAATTATTGTAAGCCGCCCAGAGACCTCTGGGTAGAGTGGGCGGCCTATAAAGTAAATAAATAAATAAATAAATAATTCACCTGCCAGTAGAATAGAAATGAATATAAGGAGGGAAGAATTTTTAGCTTGGAAAGGTTAGTGTGACCCCTGTTATTGGAAGATATTCTCCATAGCATGTCTGATGAACAGTTGAGGTGGGATTTGTGAATGAAGAAGATTTCAGAAGCAATTCTATTATCTTGCCTCAGCTTCAGTGCTGTGGAATTTAATAATTGTGCAGGGAAACAACAGCACGTAGATGCTGGCCTGAGGGCCATGCCTCATCAATCAACAACACCAGCATTTCTTCTGCAATACGTACCAATGCAAGTTCTGCTGAATGAATCGTATTGATAGCCCATCTTGCAGTCACAGCGGTAAGCTCCAGGTATATTGTGACACACCTGTCCCTCTCCACAGTTGTGCACGCCGGTCTGGCATTCATCAACATCTACCAAAGTAAAAGGTAACAATTACTCTCACTGGAGTGGGCCAAGATGGCGGCCACACCCTGGATGGCACCATTTTCAGTCCTGCTGCATCGAATGAAGATGCACTCCATTATTGGAGTGAAAGTAGAACAGAAATATTCTTACATTTATTTTGCCACAGCAGGGGAAGTGATTAGCGATCCCAGTCCCCTTCTGCCAAAACTGGCTTTGTGTTTTAAAAGAAGTGTTGAAGTGACTTCCAAGGCCCCTCAAGAATACTATGTGTTTGGTGCCAATCAAAATGTCTTAGTGCATCCACAAAGATGTGCCCTTGACATCACCAGAATGGCTACAGTGACAATGACAGTCCTTGTAATGTTTTGATTTAGTAAAGCAATATTTCCTGAAAATGAGTGAGAAATTCAGCTGCTCCAAGTAAATCACAGTTAGACTTTATCACAGACTGAGATTTATCTTCTTCACTTGATTTATGTCTCCATATATTAAAAACTAAAATAAGAAAAATTACTGCACAAATTGACTCACATAGGCATTTTCCTACACTCAGATACTCTCGTTATGTAGGAAAGCTTTCAAATGCTGGAGCCAGCATCTTAGTGTTGTAGTACCTTACAATGCTGCAGTATCATGACACTTGCACATTTCCCCCCTACAGTGGGCAATTAAATTTTCCTGCTAATATAGCTGAAACTAGAGTCGGTTTCAGCTATTTTAGCAGGACGTGGTGGCACTATGGGCTAAACCACAGAAGCCTGTGCTGCAGGGTCAGAAGACCAGCAGTTGTAAGATCAAATCCACGCGACGGAGTGAGCTCCCGTCACTTTGTCCCAGCTCCTCGCCAACCTAGTAGTTCGAATGCATGTACAGTGGTGCCTCGCACAATGAGTGCCTCACACAACGATAAATTCACACAACGATGTTTCCTATAGGGAATTTTTGCACAATGATTTTGGGACCATGCTTCACAGAACGATTGCATTTTGGGTCCCCTGTTTCACTTAACGATGTTTTCAAAAAAGAGCGGGAAAGGTGGCTGTTTGGCAATGCTAATTTGTTCTTCTAACTGCCTGTACCCAGGATGCGTTGCGCCTGTGCAGGGAAGGGATAAAAAACCTTCCCCATGCATCCTGGGTTTACTTTCCGACATGCAGTTCAAAGGTTGGCTTTGCCTCTTTGCTCTGTCTTGTGGGTGCTTTCTGTGCTGGAGAACTTTCAAAGGTAAGCTTGCATTTCTTCTCCTGGGTGGGTGGTGGGTTTTACAGTGTATCTGTACTGTACTGCATTGCAAAACTCTGATGATTTTTGCAAGAGGGAATTTGGGTCTGTCTGGCTTTGGTTATGGGGTTTTTTTCATTGGGGAAATTGCAGGGGGTTTTTTGGCTGGGGGTTTCTGTGGATTTGTGTGGGATTTGAATGCCCAAGTTCAAAC